TACTGCAGAAACCATTACAAAAACGCGCCTGTCTATATGGCCGTGAATTACTTTTTTATTCTGGAAATGCAAATTACATTTTCTAAGTAAACATTAGTAGAGAGGTATCTTTTTTGATTCACAGGAATCTGGACAAAAAGTTGCTTATTTACACCTTCTTTCATTTTCAGTGGTCTCCTAAAAAATATTGCAGCAATATTTGAGGCTGCCGAGGATGCTGTAGTCTCAGAGTACAGAGGAAAAAAAGCCCTCCTGATTTCAGCAAAAGCTTTACCTTCTGAAGAACAGCAGAATCAGATGAAGAACTTTGAATTAATACTGACCTTTAAAAGAAGCTGGTATTTTGTTATCCTTTGGACAGGTTTAATAAGGTAAGAGGAGATAGAGTTGGCCAGTCCATGTCGTTGTTGTATTTCCTGCAAGAAAAAAGCAAACACTTGAGGACTGTGAGCACCAACGCTCAGACACAGACTGCTTTGAGGGCTATGCAATAATACACAGTAACTACAAATTCTATTTTAGCAAGGAGAAATAAAAAAAACCACAGGATGACAAGATATTCCAGCCACAGCAAATGGTTATGTTGTGCATCTGCCTGCTTGCTTCGTACAAACAAAAGATTATTACCTCCAAAGGTACCTGTGAAGCATTTCAACAAACTTAAACACAAATAGCAACAATTAGGGATACTGAACATGTGGCAATGCCTTTTTTAAAAAAATTAAAATCTGTATTTATTTTGTTACTTGCAAAAAGAAAACAAACTTAAGTGTTTTGGGGAACAGCCAGGACTACCACAGGACAGCTGAGATAGAGGTTTCTTGGCATCACCTGCCAGGCACAGAAAGCATTCTCCCCCACAAGGGGGAGCACCAAGTAACATTTTCTAGCTAAAGGAAAGAGGTTACCAAACGCTTAAAAAAGAAAACAGCCACTTAAACAAAAAAAGAATGACCTCCACAAAGCTAAAGGAGGAAAATAGAATTAGATGGTAATTCGATGGGATAGGTACAGATTTCAAGTACTGATCATGGTTGAACTTCACGGCCAGCATTTGCCTTTTATCACAGTATCGGATATATTTTAACCACACAATTTCAAGCAGCAAGTTATGCACCGCAGCTATGTGCTTTCTAACCATGATTATAGCATCAGAAATTCCCAAGACGGGATACACATGACATTTTCACATGGTCCAGTGGTGGCATCAATGGAAGCTCTTGAAGTTACCTTTGCACAGAATTAGGTCTTCACACTTCTAATCCACTTCAGGTGGATTAGGGGGTGGAGAGCTCTGGATACACTGGTAAAACAGAGGGATCAAAGGGCACTCCTTTGAAGGTGGTGGCAAGAACTGATTTTTTTTATACAGTTTTATCAGAGCCCTTTGTTATTTTTTTAAAAGAGTATTTACTAAATTTTTCTTTGAATTTTTTATGTCATGTCTGCCTGATTTCCTTTAACTTCCTTGCTCTTCTTCAAACACTGAAAACTGAACAGAGGCTTCACAGAAAGGCTTTACCTTACAATGTTTAGAATCCTCATCTCTTTAGTGATAGATTTTTGAAATTAACCTCAAGAACTTCAGGGATTTTTTGTTTGTTTGTTTTTTATTATGTCCTTCCCTCTACTTCTACAAACAATTCAAAAAAAATTTGTGGTGTCACTACACAGCTGGTGGCTCAGCACAGTGAAGAAGGAAACAAAAAGGGGTAGAGAACACTCTCACTGAATGATCTGTGAATACATGTTCAACCAAAACTCACTCAATGCAGCCAAAATTCCTTCCTAAAACCTCTCACAGCTGCTACATTTTGGTCCTTTCTTAAACAGAATATTACACGTAGACCGAGTAACCTTGGGACTGAATAAGCAAGGTGGTTGGTTTAGCTGCTCTGAACAATGGCAGTCAACTGAATCACTACTACATACAATCACAATTTAAAGGTGGTCCAAAAATTTAACAAACATTTCCATCTTTATTACATACAATGCAAACTAAGCACATCAAAATGTGAATGTGAGTGTAAGAGCTGAAGATTCATGTCTCGGTTGTTGCTGCCAGAATCTTCTTCCAGTTCTGAACTGCTCTGATATGTGACAGCGACTTTTTACATTCAATTTGCCAGCTTTATGAGACCAACTGAGCAATCTAAGTTAACCATGTGGGATATAGGATTGATTTTCTTAAGCTGACACTAAATTGCAGCATTAGTACCATGAAACCTGCATTTTCTTAAGAAATTACGCACTCAGTATAACTGCAAGTGCATGATTCAAACTGCCAAGGCATACTTAAGACGGCCACAAAGTACTTACGTCAAAGTATGCTCCTGCATGTTCTAATATCAGCTGGGTAGAATCTGGCTTATTTTTACAGTAAGTAACGTACATTTGGAATTTGTCTGCCTGCAGAACAAAATGCAAATTTACACAGGTTATGAGAGAGCATCATTTCTGTCTTGAAGTTTTTACACAGTTATCAGAGAGTGTATCTTCTCTCTCAAGAAATTGAGCTATACAGGATTATTTTCCCATTCAAACTGCCAGCATAAGAAAATACATCAGACAAGTAAGACTGAAAACAATAGCAATGTATGCCAAAGTAGATTATTCATAGCTAAGACAAAGATACCAAACTAAACCTGAACGCTGGTTTAGGCAACTTGCATAAATTTCAAGCGCAGCTAAGCATTGGTATCTGACAGCAGTGCCTTAATTATTTTTTTCCCCAGTTAAGGATACAGACATTTTTACTCAAATTTGAAGGAAGAGGTACTTTTACAAATATTACAGATTAAAAAGGGTTCTGAGAGCAAGAATCCATCCGTTCATCCCTCCTACCTCCCTTGTTACTTTTTAACATAAGTCTGACTTCATTACCCAAGTAACAAAGCAGTGTCCAACATCTTCTGGTAACTGTTCATATTTTTCCAGCTCCTTGAGGAATATACTATGGGTAGAAAAGAAACAAATAGCACAAGGCACATGAAACATTTTCATTAGAGCAGTTGATACTGATCTATTGTCTGTGAATAAAAGGAGTTAGAAAACTTGCTGTAATTCATACAGTATGAGTTAAAGAAAAAGATAACAGGAATGGATAAAAATGTGTAATAACAGAACTAACATAAAATGTAATTCAATACAAATTCTGATGTGAAGATCAGAAATTGATCCAGCAGCCATGCAGCTAACACATAAGAGTACACAAAAATTTATTAACTGCTGTTCTCCATCAAGAAGTTTTCCTACTGTCTCAGTTTCAAGAATAGTTTAGCTTTCATCTCAAGAGAAAAAAAAGAGGTGACTTGCTTTTTGGATGCTCAAGTTACCACAAAGCATACGAAGGACTGTAAAATCAGGTTCTGGAATATGCTAGGTATATTTTGTTACTTAAAAGAATCATAATCCAATACAAACACCAATGAATTAAAGAGGGAAGATTCAGAGCAAGACTTCTGTACATTGATCTGCCTAGTAACCATTCCACTCAGAAGAAATGTAGTGGGCAAGCCTCTTTCATGCTCTGTACTCAAGGAAATGTAACAGTGGTGGGGCATCTCCACAGAAGCTTTGAAGAGCCAAGAAAGAGCGGGGAACCCTACTCTTTCCCGCTAGCAGTTGCACTTGGAAATTGGGAATGAGGGTTCTGAAGGAATGACAGAGTCTTAAATTGATGTTTGGGCTATATCTGTATTCTATTGAGTTCAGTGGTTTCCATCTCTTTATAACAACTGGAAAACCTATAGTAAAATTGTAACATATACAAATAACTTCTTAAAAGCTGAAAGATATCCGAGACCAAAAGAGACAGTTTCTACTGGTGTACCCACCTGGCTTCAAAAAGCAACAACTGAAACAATTTAGCATTGCAAGAAGAAATCGTTTAGATTTTGTATGGAAAAGTGTCCATTATTCATACACACAGTATTTTCATTAGGAAATCCCTCAGGTCATCATTTGGATTTAGCAGTAATATGGAAATGGAAGATAAGTCACTTACTTATTGTGGAACTCATATATTTCCTGCATGTTTCCAAAGATAATGTGTTCTTTGTTTACAATACCAGGTGGGATCTCCTCAACTCCGCTTGTCATTTCCCATAGATATGTCTGCCCAGAACAAAAAAGATGCATGAAAAGTCATGATAAACTCGGAACAGAAGCACCTGGGTATCTGTAAGCATGCATTCCTGGAGAGAAATCAGGGAAAGATCATGCAGCAGCATTATCTCTAATTGTGACAGTACCTGTTGTGTCAAATTGTGATTTTGACAGTAAAATCCAAGTTCTAAAACTGACAATTCAACACAGTCCCGAGACTTCATAATTTAAAATGCATAGTGTTTTTGACAACCTCTACTGCTTCAGGATATTCCTTATCAAGGTCATGTCTGCAGTCTAGAAGTTCATGCTTTGTGCAATAGCTAACACTGAATATTACTTGCTTCAGCGTTAACAATTACTGGGCATTTTTCCATGGAATCTCTCTGAATTTCTATTCAAAAAAGTCAGCTAATAGCAGAACATGTGATACAGATAATAAGAGAATTAACACAAGCTCTTCTCTATTGCTAGCAAAGCAAATAAAGTAAACCCTTCCTTTTCCCTCCCCTCTCTCAACCAAAACAATCCACACATTTATGACTCATGAAAGGAGCCAATGCTGAAAACTCAGTGCAGGCAAAAGCAAAAAATATAGGATGGATTCTCAAGTGGCTGTTATCAGACGTAATTCTAAGTTTCTTCTTAACAGCAGCAAAGACACGTAATTTAGTCCTACGACTGCAAACCAATCATGCTTGGCTGTTAAAACTAGAAAGAAACAGAAAGCAATGGATTGAATCCTGTCTTCAAAGATTAGTGAAAAAAAGAAAACTTACATCCATGCACTCCCGGAGGTCTCTTACGTAAGCCTTTTCTGTCTGAATTAGCTCAGCCATAATAAACCTTAGATGACAACAAAAAGAATAATCAAATCTCAGTCTGTTAGATCATTATGAATGCATAATAACCAGAATATATCTTTCTCCCCGTTAGATTTTGCTTTTTCCACTGTTGTGAGAAAAATCTGAGAACTGAAATGTGAACAGAGACAACAGATGAAGGAAACGTAAGAGGTAACATCCCTCCATTACTAACCAGCACAAAAAGAAATGGTGAAGGAGATGGAATCTTTTCTCAAATGCTTTTTACTTGCTACAGTCATTTAACTGTTGTCCTCCCTCCCCCCCTTACACATTTATTTCACATTACTTCTGAAAAGAAAAAAAGCCTGTTAAAAGAAGTCTAACATAGCTTTGAAAGTTTAAGATTCTGACATGCTAGACTCATCTATGAGAACAAGTATGTGAATAAAAGGCAATAGGAGCTATTGAGTAATATCATTCCTTTTTTACCATTTATGCAATTCTAAGCTGCCAGACAAGCCATGACAGTTGTTTCATTATCAGGATTGATTTATGCATTCTCATTGATTAAAAATAAATAAATGTATTACTCTTTCCTGCGGGCAGACTTTCGTTTTTCTTCATTAAGCTCATGAGCAGCATCACGCAGTTTCACCTCTGACCCAGGGACACTAGCTGGGATTATATCCAGCTGCAAGCTTTTGCTCTTTATTAGAGAAAGGAAGAATTGATTAATGAAGGAGACAGAAGAAAACGCTTAAATCATATGCAAGCAAAGCTTGTTTGTCTGTCATCACACTCAAATTTCTCTTACCGATTTGTTGGAATCGGAGGAAATACCCAGAGCCTTCTCTAAAGAGGTCCTGTATTTCTCCATGCGCAGGGAAAAGTCTCTGTACCTCTTATCCACTGCTGTGACACATTTTTTAATCTCTGTTGCATGAGCATGCCCTTTTTCACAAAAGCCATCAGCCAGCTGTATCAACAACTTCACCCTCTCTTTGGTTTGCTATGAAAACAGGAAAATATCGAACAGTTACTAGCTCTACCTGTCATGACAGGGGTCATTTTGCTTAACCTGCTACTAAGTGCAGTTGGAGAAGCCATCAAAGGAGCTAGCTTCCTCCTCTCTCTTCCCAGAACTCCTTCAAACAGATACCTTTTTCTTAATAAAATAGCACAAGATGAATATAGATTTTCTTGTGCTTTATTACATGACTAGAAGCAGGTTGTTTATTTTTCTTTCAAAAAAACGTGCTCCATATCTAACTGAGAGATTAAATTCTGCTAGGCAAGCTTTTCAGAGCATGGGTATTCTCCACACATCAATGGGTATTCTCCACTCCTCAATACAAAAGGGTTTTGATGCCAAAGAGGATATTCTGTTCACTATCACTGAAGCGTTAGTATTGGACCTGGCCCACAGTCTCAAGAACCTACCTCCTTTAGACATCACTGAAATATTGAGACGGAGATAAATTTTGTTATATGCTTTACACTGTAACGGATTGAGACTACATTCTTTAGATCTTTTTTATATTATGTTATGTTGTCACACAGTTGTTTGAGAGAAACTATGAAAACATGCTGCCACCACCAAATCTGAAACTAAGTGCTTTTCCCAATTAAGCTGCCTTAGCTTTCTTTCTTTCTTATAAATCATAAATCACATACAATGGATGAGTTTATACCTCCATGTCTGTCTCTGATACCATGTCAGATTAAAGAATAAATACTGTTAGGACCCTTGATAACAGGGAGTTAAGCAAAACAGTCAATAAGAATTTGACTTTTTAAATGTCAGCTGGAAAATCAACAGTGTTTGTCCTTTTTTTTTTTTTTCATTCTTTTTCTTTCCTAATGGTCCCTCATCCAAGCATTTCTTTTCACTATGGAATCAGCAAGGGCTAATGCATCCTCCCAACAGGTAGCAAAATGCCAAGGGAGTGGCACTAACAACATCCTTTCAAACAGGGCACCTACGTCATCCGCTGACTGACAGAGGAAACAAGGGGGCAGTGGTGCTCTGCATGCTGGAAAGGATCCAGCAGAACAAAGGCTGGAGCAAAACTCAGAAGGAAGAAAATCTGAGTTTGAAAAGCAAAAGTGATCTCTGTTCTTTCTGGATTCTCTTTTTCTCCCTTCCCACATGTCCCATGACCAACTCCATCTCCAAGTCTCTTCTCTTCTGAGGCGGTCCTTCAGACAAATGAACACTTCCTTACTTTCTTGCACTCTATTACTTCTCTATGAAGATTGGACAGCCAAGATGTGGAAACAGGTGGCAGTTTGAACAGGTGACAAAATGAAACACAGACAAGGTTACATACGCTCAGGTACTTCAGTCATGCACCAGTTGCCTGTCTTACACATGAAAACTTTTAAGCCTCACAAGTGACATCTGCATCTCTGCATAGGCTCCCAGAGATGTAGAATAAAATAATGCTGCCACGGCTCAAAAAGTTACAGCAGAATCACAGAATGCTTTAATAAAATGAGTAACCTAACAAGCAAAGCTTTAATTTTCCTACTGTCTTCTAACTAAATCACAGCTGAATAATCATATGCCTTGTGGTATTTTATATCCTAAATGAATGTGCAGTAATCCATAGACATGAGGATATAAAAGTGGAAATCAAAGGCCCTGCAAGGTTTGTAGGTTTTTTTAAAAAATGTTTTTACGCTATCTCACTACAGTTCTGTCATAAGAAATCAACTGCACGTAGGGCTGATGGAGCTCCCGTAACAGTGATTACCTTCTGATTATCTTTTAGTTTGTTTTGTTTCCAGCAAAAATACAGAAAGCAAGCCACGGCAAGTAAACAAACCTTGATGGACACATCCTTGGTTTGTGTTGTTTTTTTTTTGTTTGGGGGTTTTTTTGTGAGGGGTTGTTTGGTTTTTTTTGAGAGGTGTGTGACATTTGGGTTGTTTTGTTTTTTTAAAATCTTACATAGTTTTATTTATTTTACCTTTGCTGTGATCTGAAATTCTTCATGTTCTTTTAACAGCTCTTGAGTGTGCTGGATACTGGAGCCAGTGGAAGTATGTGTGGATAAATAAAACTCTCCATTGTCATGAATCCATTCCAGAGCCTAAATAAAGCAGTAATGAAGGAAGAGTAAGAGAGAAGGCAACATAATTTTGTCAAGAGAAGCCACCTGTAATCAATATTTCACGAACACAGATCAGCCACAGGTAAATTTTATTCTATCTCGCTCATGGCAATCCAATACCTCTACAATATCAGAGGCAATGCTTAAAGAATTAAAGAAAAACAACTGACACGTGAATCTGAATACTTCAGGGAAGTCCACTTACTACAGGATTATAGTAGTCTACTATTAAAAGGTTCTGACTATGTCTACAGCTTTATTAGTATACTCCCCCCAGATGAGCAAAAAAATCACATTTTTGGTGCAACACAGGACCAGCTGTACACAGAAATACACATTTTCCAATTTGGAAAAATGTACATCAGACTGCTAATGTGCTTGGAAAGTTTAGCCTACACATTAGATTTAACTATCATTTCACTCTTCAGTTGACACGTACTCCAGCCTCGTAACGTATGATCTGTAATTACAGGTACTCCTAGAAATTAAACCTGCAGCAGAGGAAGAATGGTGAGATGTATCAGTTAAAGCAATGAATGTATGTATAGGCAGTAAAAGACAAGAACTAAGAATGCCAGTCTAAAATTGTTTCCCTTCCACATCTTGGCACCTTACTCTCTCACTATTATGAACCATGCTGATCCAGGTTATTATCTATGTTCTACGCACATTAACATCTGCTGCCCTTATGCTTAAAACTCAGTGGTTGTGAGTAATCCTACTCTCTGGCTATGGGGGGGCAGGGGGAAGAAAAAAAAAGAAAAAAAAAAGGAGTCCTCTCAAACTGCTGCATAACAGTATGAATCAAAAAATGTAACTGAAGACTGACATTATCAAGTTGTTTTGCAGCTCTTAATACAGGCTCCTACAGCAGTATGCAGAGACACATGAACTTAGAAACTTCTTGGTTCTGACAAAGTCAGTATCAGATGTTCAAGGAATTTAATACAGCTTGCTTAGAACTGTCTTGTTACTAAATGCATGTGTATCTTCTGTGTCTTCAGTAAATATATACAGCACTAGACAAAAATTTAATGCACCAAAAGAAAAAGTAGCAGACTGCTAGTGAGTCCTCATTCTTCCTTTTATCTCTCATACTTTCAGTTTACCCTTTTATCTATCCACGTTACCAAGAACAGGAAAAATTTTATCTTGGTGGACAGTAGATATGTATTTTTCAAGAGCATAATCTTACACTGAATCAAAAAAGCCATCGTCTGTACTATAATTCCACCGACAATTTAAGATCATCAAGGCTGTGACTGAACAACTTTGATTCTCTTCCTTCCACTTAGGATGCTTTTGCCTCTTGGTACAAAAACTAAAGTAGAAAGCCTTCAAAATTCAACACCAAATGCTAGGATGCCATTTACCTGGTCACATACTAGAGCAGATGCAAGCCTGATGAGATGGGCCTGTACTTTTCAAGCGCCACTGATGGAAACAAACCAACAACTCTTGGACTAGTGTCAAGAAAAGGGACATTTCAACCAACCACCTGTGCGATGCCCCTTGTCATTCTAACGTCAATCTTTGCAAGTGAAGACTGATATGGACAAGCAGCATGGCTGACACTGATACTACAAACAACATTTATTTTGGTATTTCTTGCTTTTAACTTTTTAACCTCCACTTTTTTTTTTTTGGTGGATTTATTACACAATGCTGGAATGAATGATAAACAAAAAAATCTTCCCCTCCTCAAATGTTGCCCTTTCATTAACTTTTTTGGCAGTTCTCTAGGGCCACAACATGACAGAAAGTTCATCTTGATGTTAATCCCTAGTTTAGATCAGTTCTTATTTCATGTGAGGATCAGGACTGTATGCTGGAGATGCACGTCACCATACAAGCACTGGAGAAAGCAATTTAGTGACCAGGTGAGCCCTTAACTCTGGAATGATTTGAGACTCTACCATTTTCCTCACAAACTACTATGGTATCTGCTCCCAGAGCAGGACATGGAGTTCTGATGGCACACAGAATGGGTTCTTCCAACTTTCAAACAAAAATCTAAATGAAGACAGCAACATTTCCATTTTCTGGCTAATCAGTGTGGATTTGTGATGACTGAACTGGTGATTGCTGAAAAATGGGATTTACAATGAAAATGCTGACAGATCCGGTGTTTGATTGTTAGTCAGTAATCTCTATACAAAAGTAAGTAGGTCATGTGCTCAGCACAGGTTGGAGTTAAAACTATTCAAAAGTGGGGTGAGGGGCAGGGAAGGGGTGTTGTTGTTTTGAAGAGGTATTAATCTTTAACTTCACTCCATGATTTATCTTGCATTACTTTCTTTGTGAAATCATGAAAGACAGACTATAGAAATCTTTCAAGAGATCAAAACAGACCAATAGTATTTAAGCCTCTGTCTACATTGCCTGTCAGAAAGAAATTAAAAAAAAAAAAAAAAAAAAAAGGAGTAGTACAAAACCATTGCAGATCATTCCAGTTACTAATTCTGCCTTGGAACCCTCTACTTACTTTTATGGCTTGTGTTTTGATTAGTGAACTGGATTTTTTTGGTGTCAGTAGTTACTTAATAGTTCTTTTCAGATTGATAAATTCAACAAAAATACAGACAGGTGGATCTACCGTGCAAGAAACCATGAAACCAAGTACACGCTGAATCGCAAAAACTTTCCACAGTCATTCAGTTATTATTGTTTAATGAGTTATCCAACTTGTCAGTTTTCTAGAACTGCCAATCAACTTAATTAGATGATTTTTTCCCCCAACATCAGAAAAAAGTTTTGCTGCCTGTTATTTCCCTGGTCAAATTAGGTGCGTGGGTAAAAGTTAACAAGCGTAACAATTTGTCAAACACAAGCTTGCAGAAATGAGAGTCACCAGTACCAGATCAAGCTGGTAGAAGCAAAACACTACCTTTAAGTTACAGCAGTAAAGACACCCTTCCTCAACAGATTTCCTTGTTCTGTATTAACAGAAAAGCAAATAATTTAACTTTCTATTTTAATCATTGATCATTCAGCCATTTGAAATATTGCAGTCAATGGCAAATTTGGTATTGTGGGACAAGTCAGTGTATGTCAAACCTTGATTACATTGAAGAGGATCTTTATCTAAACCCCTCACCTGTTTGGCACTTCTTTCAAACACCACATACTGTTGGCATTGATCAAGACGTCTTTTACGCATGGTCCAATAATGCAGCACACGGTTCTCCCTCTGGAAGAGTTCATTCAAGATATCTGAAGAGATGAAAATAGTTATGACAACCAGCTTTGAAATAACACATTAAAATCAGTGGAATAAAGTCCTTTATATTGTAGAATTTACAATACATTTACTCTTTCTGTTACTCTTTGTTTTGCTCTTTTTCCTGATATTCATGAAACACAGAATGTTCCTGTTTCATTATTGTTTACAGAAATGTTAGTTAAAGATATGCAATTAAAACTTACTAGTAAGACCTTTTTTCTCTCAAACATTTTTCATATGGAGACTGCCACAGTTTATAACAGAATTGAAAATGCAGTCTGATAAAGATGGTTCTTGATGGGTTTCTTCAGAAAGAACGAGCAATTAATCACAACATGCTTAACATCTCATATTAATGATAATAAAAAACTTTTCTGAATATACCAGTCTCCTGTAAAATATTTTAATAATTTAATACATATGGGCAAATACATAACCTTAGGTCACTACAAGAACAAATTCAACTGTGGTTGCAACTGGGTTTGCGTGGCAAGGTTTTGGTGGCGGGGGGGCTACAGGGGTGGCTTCTGTGAGAAGCTGCTAGAAGCTTCCCCTGTGTCTGACAGAGCCAATGCCAGCCAGCTCCAAGATGGACCCACCACTGGCCAAAGCCAAGCCCATCAGCGATGCTGGTAGTGCCTCTGGGATAACATCGTTAAGAAGGGGAAGAAAAACGCACTAGGAACAATTGCAGCCAGAGAGAGGAGTGAGAAGATGTTAGACGAACAATGCTGCAGACACCAAGGTCAGTGCAGAAGGAGGGGCAGGAGGTGCTCCAGGTGCCAGAGCAGAGCTCCCCCGCAGGAGGTGCTCCAGGTGCCAGAGCAGAGATCCCCCTGCAGCAGCCCCTGGAGAAGACATGGTGAGGCAGGCTGTCCCCCTGCAGCCCATGGAGGATGATGGGGTGCAGAGATTCCACCTGGAGCCCATGGAGGACTTCACGTTGGAGCAGGTGGAGGCACCTGAAGGAGGCTGTGACCCCATGGGAAATCTGCGCTGGAGAGGGCTCCTGGCAGGGTACCTGTGGACCCGTGCAGAAAGAAGCCTACGCCAGAGCAGGTTTGCTGGCAGGGCTTGTGACCCCCTTGGAGACTCACACCTGAGCTCCTGAAGGTCTGCACCCTGTGGAAGGGACCCACGCTGGAGCAGTTGGTGAAGAACTGCAGCCTGCGGGAAGGACTCACATTGGAGAAGTTGGTGGAGAACTATCTCCTGTGGGAGGGACCCCACGCTGAAGCAGGGGCAGAGTGTGAGGAGTCCTCCCCCTGAGGAGGAAGGAGCGGCAGAGACAACGTGTGATGAACTGACCACAACACCCATTCCCGGTCCCCCTGTGCCACTGGTGGGGGAGGAGGGAAAGACATCGGGAGTGAAGTTAAGCCTGGGAAGAAGGGAGGGATGAGGGGAGGTGTTTTGAGATTTGGTGTTATTTCTCATTACTCTAATATGATTGGTAATAAATTAAATCACTTTTCCTCAGTTGAGTCTGTTTTGCCCATGACGGTAACTGGTGAGTGATCTCTCCCTGTCCTTATGTCGACCCATGAGACTTTCATTATATCTTCTCTCCCCTGCCCAGCTAAGGAGGGCAGTGACAGAGCAGCTTTGGGGGGCACCTGGCAACCTGCCAGGGTCAGCCCACCACAGCAACATAAGCAGATATTAAATATACAGAAACCCAAGCAATAAAAAAAAATATACAAAGTTCGTAATTCCCCTTAAAAAAAAAAATCAAAACTAACAGCAGTATAATTGAGTAAATTGACTTGTTCAAATATGAGTGGTCAGTGAGCCTTGAGAAAATTTCCCAGTAATCAAATAATTAACTCCACAATTTGTTACTCCATTCCCAAGTATCAGAAACTGTCTGCCATTGGGAAGTCACATCCAAATTCCACTGTTAACCTGCAATTCCATATGCCTGGCTTATAAATTCTTCCTGGATGGTAAAGACCTTCTGCTTACAGTATGCAGAGGATTTTACCTGAACTCTTCTTCTTTAATGTTTACTTTTTTCTTTTTTTTTTTTCCCCAAAGAAATCCCAACAGTTTCTTGTGAAGCGCACTTTACCCACTGCTTCTACCAGAGCAGGAGCCCTGCCAGACTTTGTAGCCACTGCAAACCTAGATGGCAAGCTGAAACACATGGAAATGAGGACACCTGACATCTCTGCCAGATGATTCTGTTGGGAGCGCAAAGAACCCAAGAGGAGGTCTACCACAAGCCAGAGAGACCACAAAAAAGGTTCATTCTTCACAATTATGCTTTACTTGCTTCTCCTCTTATACCTACTGCTGGCTATTTCCCATAATTACAAATGCAGGATCTCAGATGCTAGGCCTCTTAACACCTCTGCATTCCCCTGCCCCTCTGTGCAGGTCCATCACACCTTACATCCCAAAAGCTAACAACTCTGAGAAACAGTTTGACAGAGAAGCTCAAATAAAGGGAGCTTGAAGGGAAAAGCGTCCCTCTCTGTCAGTGATCTGGTACCAACTACAACCACCCGTCACAGCCTCCCTGAGGATTATGAAACCTGTCTTCATCGCTGCCAACATCCTCGTGTTTGGAAGCACCATATTCCCACTTGCCAAAGAGTGCTGAGATCACCGAGGACTTGCTTTTGGTTGGAATCTGGTCACTGCAGCCATGGTTTTCTTCCCACTGGGCAGGCTACCCTGAAGTACGCTGCAGCCAATCTGTCCCTTAGCCAAGCCATGAGCTTCACCTTAACTCTATGCCAGTCAAAACCAGGACACCTTGTCACTTTTATTTCTGCCTTACGCCACCTCCAAAATGCTTGCTCAGAATATATGCCAGATTTTGGGTGGGCAGGGGGGGACACAGAGGCAGACAGACGGACAACTATCTTATATAATACAATACACCCAACTGGACACACCATATAAAAAGAGACATCTTGATAGTGACGCAAGTGAAGTAGTTCTGACAAAGAGCAAACAAGGTGAATTTAGCTAATTGGAACAGTATTTGCCCTGTCAGGACATGATACAGATGGCGAGCCAGTGAGAGACATTTGGCTGGGCACCATTAGTGTTACTGCCATTAATTTCTTGGACTGACAAGGAAAAGAAAAAAATATTCTATAAAATACTCAAAGGAAGTATGGAACATCAACATTTAATACCAGGTTTGGATGGCTCTATCTCAAGCCTTCTGAACTATAGTTCCTGTTGTTATTTTCTTTGATTCCAACACTTGTTCGGATAGTTTCCTGAACTTCCAGCTTGTTCTCCAGGCTCGAGGAGCTTTCAGCTGTCTCTACGCATCCTGCACTCTCTGTCAACCTATCTGAAAATACGAGCACCACTAGACAAGTTCCTGCAATACATTCAGTCACAGCCCATACAGTGGAGACAGAGGAACAAAGCAGCACGTGAAATTTAGCAGCAAGAGCAAAAGATGAAGATGCTCCATTTCTCAGTTTACAGCAATTGTCACTGACTGACTCCTCCTCCCACAGCACAGTTTCAGGCCACAACTCCTTCCTAAAATTCAGTTTTGCCACAGTGTTCAATACAATATTTGGATACACTTAACTGCAGGTCAAGATTATTTACACTGGTATGAAGGGTCAGAAGGACACCTCTCAAGAGTTCAGTATCATTGTGATTTCTGTTTCCCAGGAAGCATGTGCTTAGCTAAACTTTCCCTAGACGAAGACAGTGCTTTTCTAGATACCATCATCTGCAGCTGGGAATAAGGATCAAGTATGACACTGAATGAGGTTTTTGAAAAACACTCTATTATTTTTTCTCTATATATTTAGAAGAGATGAAAGAGATTTTTTTTTTTCCTTACATGCATATTTGAACAGGAAGATCAGAGTGAACTCTTAAATCATTTGGTCAGATACCACCATACCACTGAGACCTAAAAGGAGTCCTCGCTAGTTTTATCTTGACTCATGTTTAATTCTCAGAAGCATATATTACATGGCTTACGGGGAAAAGGCATTAGAGCACATAGGGTTTTTTTTTCTTGCTTGGGGATTTTTGTTGCTTTTTTTGTTGCTTTCTAAACATGTATCTTTCATCTAGGATTTTAAATGTTCACGGAACTTGCATAGCACTACGGTTTCGACATAATTATTCTTAAAGATGTTAGCAGAATTTTCTACTCTTTCCTCATCTGAACACGTTTACCTTTCTCAGAATGACTGTTTCTACACAGCTTTCAAAACTGAATTTTTAACAAGTTAGTCTAAAAGCCCTAACATCTTTTTCTTACACTCAGTAAGTGTGGTAGCTACAACTTCCTGCTTGCTTCTGCTTTGTTTTCTTTGTCTACTACTAAGAGAAGAGCTGACATATGCCAGGAACGCTTCTTCAGTTATTGATAGTGCCAGCATTTGCGTTGAGATTTTGTCTTTTACAGTTCTATAAATGTTCATGCCTTGGCGACAGAGGAAAAACAATCCTTTGTCTTAGCTCTACATGTTCAAACTTTCAACTGCCACAATCCCATTATTTCCTCAGAGTGAAAAGTATGGCCGATACCCTATCACCCTTCCAACACAAAAAATTCAACACAGGGAGGTTTTCAATTTGACTACTATGAGATACATGGGTAAGTTTAACACAAACTGTTTTCCTCTTGTAGTAAAGTGAAGCAGCGATCACGTCCTTTCCTGATAAAGTCGTCAAATAATTTAGAGTGGAAGTGACCTCTGGAGGCCATCTGTTCCAATCTCCTCCTCAAGGCAAGACTAACTTCAGCTCTTCAGGGGCTTGTTCAACTGAGTTCTAAAAATTCCCAAGGGCAGAGATTCCACTACTTCTCTGGGCTACCTGCTCTACTCATTGCTTTCTCACTCCTGTAGTAACACTGTCTCCTTATATACATTCAGAATTTTCCTTGCTGCAACTTTTCCTCTGGTCCTACTGCTGTATTCCTCTGAGTTTGGCTCCCTCCTCTGCATACCTCCCCTTTGGGTAGCTGCAAACAACAATAAATTAGACAATTAGACTTCTCTGGTTTTGAGTCTGTAGGATCGTTTGAGTGTTCAGTCACAGCTTCAAAATGCATCAAGCAGAATACAACTGGCAAATAAACTAGTAAAATGCAATATTTATTTCTGAACATCTCTCTCTGATCTCTGTTCTGCCTACCTCACCCATCAGTTATGTACACCCTATTAATTTCTTTCTGTCCCTGAAAGCCCTACAGATTTCTCTCTCTATTCCATTTCCCACAGTGAATGTTACACCTTAAAGCTGCACTACATTGAATTAATCCCAGCAAAACCCAAGCCCCATGTATTAGTTCTTTACTGCCTTACCTCAGCTACTGCCTATCTACACATCTAATTTAAACAGGACGTCAATTATCCTATATTTCCTGAAGCTTCTTAATACTGATTCAACTATATGAAAGGTCCAAGGGCATCATTCAAGGGATTATCTTCTATCACCCTGGCACCCCCAAGGAACACTCAGAATGCACCACACTAACACACTGAGTAAGCTTACAGTGATCAGCTCCCATTTGGCTTCAGACCAAACATTATTGCGTGGAAGTTCACTATCTCATTCTCTGAACAAAAGCAGCACGTCTGAGTCTCAAATTGAAAGAAGATTAAGTGTAAGCAGGAGATAAATAAATTCAAAGCAACTTCATTTGGGTATAAGAGAATTTGATGACTGGCAGCTCCTTCAAAGTGTGCAAGCAACTTTATTTGCTGTTAAGCCTGACAGAACGCTTTCCACTTGGGCAGGCTTCACTCCCCCATCATAACACACACCACAACACATGATGATCACATTTTTTGGAGAAAAAAAGAACAAGAAACCCCTTACTTTTGACTTGTTGTTCAGGTGCTTTGATGTGTGTCACCATCCCTGGCATGTTTACGCTGTTCCTGTGCAGGTATTTCAGGAAGACGTCAGCATTCCTCCGAGCCAGTGTGCAAGCCTAGAGAGTCAGTGGTATTACCTTCTTTGAAGATGCACAAATATACATCCAGAAAGAGATGAAGGGCCTTCCTCATCCCCCTTTTGTGCGTTTCCCATCCTCTCCAATTTTAAAAAGTGTTGCTTGTTAAATCCTTCTACAAGTAAGCCAACTCGAGTGCGGAAACAGTTTTCCCAACATCTTTTTACTTATTTTTACTTTATTTACTTATCCAGCAGGAAAAAAAAAAAACCCAAACAAAATGCTATTACTTTTTACCTGAAGATCCTGAAAAGCAATTACCTGCTCTAGAGCTTTCAGCATGACTCAGAGCTCACAGAGATGTTTGTGTATGTGCCATGTGCTATTTGACATTTTTTATTGTGTAAACAGAGTGCACATGCTTATGTAATCATCTGGATATTCCAAAACATCCACCACTACTTTAAACAAAAAGTAAATGCTCCACTGAAGTTAAACGAAAAGTGCTAAAATATCAAGATGTGCCCTTAAAATATTAAGGCAAGGCCTTGAGAGTGTACAGTCCTCGCCGCTGTATTGCCAACAATCAGCTCAGCTGCCTTGTTCATCTTAATGTACGCCAAGTAGTACATGTGGGCTGGCTGCCTTATTTTTAGTAAGCAGAACATGAAATGCTACTTTAAAAGGTTATGTAAAGGTAGCATGGTTAGATCAAATAAGAGAGACACCAATTTCTCAAATTATTTTAAGACAAAGGCTGGAAACTCACATGCCAGCTGCAGAAAGATCTATCTGACAGTATACTTTATGCTAATATGTTTTTGAATGTTCTCATTTGTGCACTGAGAACAAAAAGACTTTTAATAGAACTAAGTTTTATACTCTGTTGTCTTTCAAGGTGATGCTGGAAAAAGTCTTTGGTTACAGGGTTACACTGCTTTGCAATCATCCGTTACACATCTATTCAGTATGATCAATAACCCTCTTCATTAGGACATTAGTTGGAATGAAAAACTTTTCATTTATCTGCAGACTATTACACAAACCCAACTACTCCTAGATGCTTGTCTAGCAATTTCCTCCTTCCATACTCTATTGTAGTCCAAGTACAACTGAGAGCTGCATCTGATGCACAGGCAGCAATGGGACTATCTGACTGTCACTTCTTTTCCAAAGCAGCAGCCTTTAAGCATTCTTTAGAATGACAGTTGCTCAAAGCAGTCATTCCCAGTTCCTCTTCAGTCACAGTGGGAGACCTCACATCTACCAAAGTTCATCAGGAAATTTATTTATAAAACTGTCTACAATTTTATGCACTTGGCAGTATTCTCCTAATCACAGTCAGATCAGTTAACGTGCCATTGCCCACATCTTTGCAATTTGGGACACACCTGTAGCTCTTGAATGGATACTGTTGCTTTCCACATATTTCAGCACTGTAAGTATGAGCATTTGACTGCATGCTTGCCAAGACACAAAAGACCACAAAAAATAGCAAATCCTACCTTTAGGAACGCCTCCTTCTGTTCCAGGTGTTTGCTTATCATGGGAGTAACATGATCTGTTTCAGAGTTGGGACCCAGTTTGTCTGCTCCCCCACACCAGTCTTCTTCTCGTTTATATTCTTGCTCTAGGCTTTCCAGCACGCTGCACACCTATCAGGAAAGAGTCCGATTCGAATACAATTCAGGAAGATAAAAATTCCAAATTCAAGCCAAAACACCCAGAAAACCAACCTACCCCTTACAAGTACCTTAGCTTCTGATGTGTTTTGACTGGGACTTAAGACTTTGGCTGTGGGTTTGCAAGCATTGGCCTGCTTACATGGAATTGCTCAGGCGGCTTTCCCTAAATTAAAGTTGCTCATCCTTCTCCAACTCTGTGGCTGCACAGTTCAGGATGGGCTTAAGACATGCACGATTGCAGAGGAAGCAACCTTGCCAACCTTCCCCCTAACTCTTCTGCGAACAAGTAGGATGACACTGATTTTTCTCTGACTGCCACACAAAAATCATAATTACCCATCTGAAGTACTTCCATTAAAACCTTTGTGTAACTTGTTTATGGTTTAAACAAAACTTCTTGAAAAAAGCAGAAATAGAACTAAGGTCTTGTACAGTGTGTTTTATCTTGAAAATGTTTTACAAGACTTTGGTCAATTAAAAATAAGAATCTGAGGAATATTAAAGGGGAGAATGATATAAGAGGCAGATGCAGATTTGAGTCTTCACCAATAACCACTGCACTCTGGTAGTGCACCTTCTTTGAAGTTTGCTAATTAAAGCAAGTGTAGTTAGACTAATTACACTGTAGTCTCTTAGTAGTTAGTACAATTTTGTTACTCATTTATCACAGAATGGTTTGGGTTGGAAGGGACCTGTAAAGATCATCTATAGTCCAACCCCCTGCCAGGGGCAGGAATGTCTTCAGTAGATTAGGTTGCTCAAAGCCCCATCCAACCTGACTTTGAGTGTTTTCAGGCATGGGGCATCTATAACATCTCTGGGTGACCTATTCCGGTGTCTCATCACCCTCACTGTAAAACATTTCTTCCTTATATCTGATTTAAATCTACTCTCTTTCAGTTTAAAACTGTTGCCCCTTGTCCTGTCACTTGGTAAAAAGCCTTTATCTTGTAAGACCACTTTATAATACTGAAAGGTTGCAACACATGGTTTCTCTTTCTAAGGCAGCTGGTAAGAGGATTTGCTTTTTGCATTTATTTGTATAACTGTAGTCGTGATCAGATTAGTAAATATAACCCAACCTAGTCAACTGTTTTTTTAGGTAATGCTGGTTTATGCCACACTGAAGAATTAACCAAGGCAGACACAGATCATGTAGCATTTCTGTACCTGTTCAGAAGTTTTATAAAAGGCAACAGAGGCATTCACAAGCTTGAGACGGTCCTCCATCTTCAGCATCAGTTGTTGCCAATGGGAAGCAACCTTCTCTGCACACTCCCGGATCATATCCATGTCATAGTGATTAGCCTGCAGCATTGCCTCTGCCTTCTGCTAGATGTGTTTTCTGACAAGAGGTGAAAATTCAGGAGTTCAGTGGAATGCTTCATTTTCTTAAAGACCTCAAAGGCTCACATTTCCACTGTGTCAATGACACTTCTATACACGTGCACTAACACCCATTAACTAAAAATAACTGTCTAATATTAGTCACTGCATGACTTCACTTATGCAAATACAAAGAAAATAAATCCTGCAGACATTTAGGATTAAATCAACAATGACTAGCAGTTTACAAGCAACAGCCACCCCATAGTATTGAGCCAGACATGGCATATCTATGTTGCAGTACACTTTGTTATAATTATAAATTTCAGGTTGATTTTCTTTCCCTTCATGGTGAGGAAAAAAATAAAATTGAAAAGATGGATCTTATTTTGGGTTGATTGCTATCACTGTCCTCACAGCTTTATCACAGTCTTTTGCACATTAGTAGTGAGCAAATGAAGGTGCAGGTGTGCAGGACAATACAAAAGACAACACTCCATGCATTGTAAACAAATTGTTAATTGTAGTTCTCTGTGTAAACATATACTTGTCTACAATCTAGAACCTCTAACAATAATAAATATTCTATCCAAGTAGAGAATCATCCAGAAAACTCAGAATTTAAGTTTCCTTATCATCTTTCCTTAAATTGACAAACGTCTAGAGGTCTCATGATTTTTATACTTGAGTTACCAAAGCTCTCAAAATGAGGGTACATACAGGGCACACAGTAAAAAAACCCAAACAAACAAAAAAAACCCCACACCACCACAAAACCCCACGAAACAAAAACCAACACCACGAGATGAACATGAAAAGAGTTACTGCATAACTTCCGAAAATAGTTTTCCCAAACAATCATAACTTTGGTTAATCTCTCAACAACAGTAAAGTTCTTAAAAAGAATTGTGCTGTATATAATCAGTATCACCCTAAGTCCCTCGATCACACATATAATTTAATAACGCTGCAATCCAGTCAACCTTAAGATCTCTGCCTATTTTTTGCAGAGATACGACCAATCTGGTGAATTTAGTTTGAAGTCATGGCAGGAGGAGGGACACACCACACGCAAATTTCAGTGAAACCTACTGTCAAAATAAAAATGGAAACATTAAAGGACCATATGAGAATACACAGAACTGAGGCTTGCTGTTCTGTTTATTGTTAACTTTAACAGCATTATATTGTTGTATTCTAACAAAGGCAAACAGCATTTTTAGTAAAATTGCTGTGAACAGACTTGTTCGATTTATTGTAATTTTTTTATTCCTCTCCAAGGAAAAAAAGGTCTATCACTTTACAAAGATGCAAAAAGGCACTGAGATGATGTGTTCACCTGGAATTGCAGCTCCAAAACCAACAAGAACCAAAAACCCACCTTCCCAGTAAGTGTGTTTATTTCTTTGCCATAAGATGATTTCAACAGCTTTTCCTAAACTCAAAATATCGTAGTGTTAACCCAACAGTATGAAAAGGGAGAGAAGAGATACATCACCTTACTGCAGTGCTATTTACATAGAGTCATAAACTGTAATACAGGACTTCTCGGCTATGGTAACTGCAATGGTGCTTTTACCTCTATTGCATGTTGAAACTGCTCATGTTCCCTCTGTAACTGTTCTGCCTCCTGCAAAGAGCTAGCAGTGATAAGCCCAGCATTCAACATTGACTCTCCGTTTCGGATCCAGCCCAAAACCTGTAGCAAAAGAGAAGACCATGAAATATGCAATTCCACTGCCAACCAGCAAGAAAAGCGTCATTGCTAGGGACAAAAACATTTAGGGTCACATGCAATATGGGAATTGATGACTAAATAATGTATTAATTATATATTTACAGTGAATTATATATTCAATAAGCACAGCGAATGACATTCACTATAATTTCACTTAGCTGACAACTCCAAACTTTCAGTAAACTACTACATGTTTGTGGTTTCAGTTCATACTTTGAACAAGGTTGCGTTTCTGAATACCATTTCTGTCACCTGGAAAACAGGAACAAGTTACAAGCAATATTTGCCTAAGAGCCAGTGTCAGTAATGTAAATTGAGGACATGCAGCTTAGTAAAAAGTAAGCAAAAAATTTTGAATATAAATGTTGAGAAAAATGTGACCACCGAGTGTCTTTTAATTGCTTAAAGATTTTTTGTTTTCAGGATGTGCCTTCTTTGGCATGTCCACTGAAACCAGAAGAATCCTCAGGTGGGGAGGAAGCATCAGGAGTCCACCTACTGCATTCCTTAGCAACAGCAGGAACATGCAACCATAAGGCCCCTTCAAGAGATCCCTGCCTTGTTCATTACTCAAGATTCCAATAATGGACATCCCACACTCACCAAACATTTTTATCACCGTGAATCTTCTTTCTAATGTCTAACACTCACATCTCTCTTGCTTTAACTTCAGGTCATTTTGTCTTTCCTGCTCATGACAGACAAAAAAAAGCCCAAAACATTTTCTCCCTCTTAGCATCAGCTTTGTTCTTCCCTCTCCTGTCTCCCTCAAGAACATTACTTGATTCCCTCGTCTAGACTCCTCTCCTCTTGTTGACCCCAGCCTCTTCAACCTCTCTCCCATGTGAAGTTAGCTGCCTGATTTTTCTCATTGCCTTTTTATGAGCTCTCTTCAGTTGATAGCCATCACTTTGATCAAAATCTTCCAAATACTGAGTAAAGCTGGGCATAATTCAGGTTATTCACTGTCACCTGTACAACTTTTCCATGGAACTGCTGCTCAGCCAGTAATTACCCCTGTGCTGTATTTGTTCAGCTGATTATTTCTGCCAGTATATCATGCTCTGTATTTGTCTCTAATAAAATTCCTATCTTTCTTGCAGCGCAATTCTCCCATACATCAAGATCATTCTGAACTGTAATACAGTGTTGTCTGATGAGCTCAAATCCCTTTTCCAGATACTTTTGCCTTTATCTTCAAATTTGAAAGAATAATCTCTAATATGTACATTTTCTGACTAAAAACATGTATCCAAATACAGACTTCTACAGATTTTTATTTTTTTTTTTAATTTTGAAATGTCTTTTCCAATCCAGTGAGTCTCGTAATAACTTTTGTTACTGATTATGGTTTTCCACCAAGTTATCATTCACGTTAATGTAGTCTCGTATGACATTCTCATAGTAAGTTAGGGTCAGATGGACTGAACCAAACTATTTTAAAAGCTTTAATAGAAGGAAGATCTATGTCATCTGCTTTTTCACCTTTACCCACAAGACCTGTTACCTAGTCAGGAAGAAACAGGATTTATCAAGGAGAAGCTATACTTAACTAACCTATGTTAGCCTTTTCTCCTCTCCTCATCACTGTTCAGGTTTAATAATCTACTTGTTTCAATATGTTTCCTCGGAAATACGTTAAACTAGCTGACCTATAATCCTCCCTTAGCTAATCCTTTCCCACTTTTGAAAAGTAGATGTTGAGTTCCAGGCCTCCAGAATCTCATTCAATCTCCAGAAGTTTGGAGAAGATAAGCCATAATATCTATGACATTATTTCAGGCAGTTTTCTAGGTATTCTAGGGCGAATTCATCTGGGACCGGGACCAGCTGATTTGAAAATAACCAGTTTAAACGTACCTTCTCTAACCTGTTCCTACAAACTGATTTTAGACCTTTGACCACTGGTAATAATTATATTAACTACCAAATCACAGTTAGCTCTTAACACTAAATACTCTCATCTAATGATCCACATATGACACTACTATTAATGCTACTGAGCCAGGTTATTACTAAGTGAATCTGGATGACATGACCATAATTACAGACTGAAAACACGGGCAGAAACCAGGCAAAGGACCTAATAAAACACAAATCCTTAAAAACAAAGGCACATGTGGTCTACACGTGTAGTACACTCTAACATGTCTTTAACAGCTTGAAGCAACTGAGGTCTAGCCATCTTGACACAACTTCCATTCCCTCAAATGTGCATCACAATCTCACCTTTTGTCTTATGTTTATCCAGACTGCAATATTATTGTATTAGTAATGTAGTTCTTCCCACTTCTGCCTGCACAAGGCATTGCTAAAAAGTTTTTTTTCCTGCCGATAGCATGTATTTGAATTCCTCTACACAAAACCTGCAAGTCTGTGGAAAAGAATAAGTCTGCAGTGTAGATGTGGGACATGACAGCATCTCCCAAGACAGAAAGCATGGGGTCAGGTAGAGCCTTGCAGCGAGGGAGAACAACCTCTCTTGCTGCAAGGAGACACTTCCAGATCATAGTGTGGAGCAGGCGAAAGGGACCATGAAAGGAGCTGGGAGTCTCTAGGTTGTTAAGACACCTGGGAGTTATTAATACTCAAGGGAGCAAGCCCAGGCAAGCCTCAGGAGCAAGAAGAAGGGAAACTTCTGAAGAAACCAGATGGGTCCAACAGACTGTAGACAGAAAGTACGCTTGGAGAAAAGGATTTGTCTGTAAGAACATAGGGGCGGGGAGGACAAGTTTCTTTAAATCCCTTTTTTATTTCTATTTTGTCTTATGAAAAGCAGTTCTAAGCTCCCTCTCTACAAAATAATTCTTCCAGGTATAGTGTAATGAAACACACCTTCTTAGGGTTAAAACATCTCCAGAGTATTTATAGTGAAGGGGAATGTTTAAGCAGCACCAATTCAAACCTCTTCTTGACTTGGCATCGCATCATACACAGCTAGCTCTGAACTTGCCATTTCAAACACATGGATTTGCCCTCCTCTTTGTTGCAGGTTTGGGTGCAAGTGTAGAAGCTGGTGGAACAGACAGGAGGAAAGTTGCCAGTAGCACTTTCCCCTTCCCCCTGCCCTGACTCAAGGGGGAAAACACAAGCACTAGTAAATAATGACCCTGTTCTTTTTCCAGGGCTGCTGCCTTCCAGTGTTTGCTGGCATGTTCCCACCACCTCACTGTTTGTGAGAACCACATACCCCATCTTTCCCCTGCCAGCTTTCAGCAGGCTAGAGAAGCATCAGTAGAGCATCAGCAAAACTGTGGAAATGAAACTGAGAGTCTGGGACACTTGAAGGGGTCAAGCAGGTAGTTCTATAGATAAATGCTTGATTTAAGATTAGTTTCTTGGATTGATTTTTCACTCTAAATAAACATGATCATGAGATACACCTGCTTCAGCCTGCTGTCCTAGCTCCGTTTTCATATCCATATGGCACTATACGGAGTGCCAGGATACTCTTCCGGAGTAGTATTTTAGGACAATCAGAGCTCAAGCACTTGGACTGTGTTTGAACCAAGATAAAAGATCTGCCTGTGTGAACACAAGGCTGCCCAACGTACTTTTGAGGGTACCAGCTTGTACTTGGTACAAGTATCCGTACACTGTTGTACGGATATGCATATATAGGTATATATACCCAAGAACATACACCATGATCAGAGCAGCATAAAATATTGCACTGGAAAGGCTTAATGAGCATAGTAAAAGCAATGCATTTTGGAGCTTGGTAAAGATTTTGACCCAGACAGATGTTGCACATTAAAGCAAAGTGTTCGTTCTACAAAGTAAGTGGGAGCAATTGTAGCAATAAGTAATCCAGCAGCTGTATTTTAGCTGAGGAAAAAAGACATTGTCTGACAAATATGCAAGTGGAATTCTGGATGAGACGGATAATCTCTAAACTATTTCTCTGCCTCTACCTACTCCTATGTCCCTGCCCTGTATAAAATGATCACATTTTCCTTTCCATGTTGTTTTTTCCACATACAGCTGTCCCTTCTTATTTCAGTGAGCATCCTCTTCCCCCTATCCGCTGAGGTTTTCCTACACTGCAATGTTCTATCTGGTTTTGCCCTTTCTGCACCTATTACATACCAAGTTGACAAACAAATCCTTTGCAGGTTTTCTTTAAACCTGTGTTTGTCTTCTGGCCCTTCTGCTTCCTCCTAGTCTTGAGGCTTGATCTACAGAACTTCAGTGCCACAAAGCAGAACTGGTACAGTAGTTAAGGGAGAAGCAACACTGGATGTTTTCATCTGCTTTCTGTGCTTATTTGATAAGAATTCACTAAACTCAAAGTTTCACTACCTGGTACTGAAAAGACTCCTTGCAAGTATTTGACTAGAAAACTAGGCCGGGATGCAGTTTGCTGGTCTCCATTAGAGCAAATGTGAGAGATGAACCCTACGGAAAAATTCTTGCAGTGTTCCAGTGTAACCTTTTCACATGACCATATATTTCACATTCTTTTTATATATATATATGTATGTATGTATGTATGTATGTAAGTGAAAATACAATAGCACTAATGTAAGTTTGGTAGAAAAAATTCAAATAGAAATCTTGTTAAAATCCTTGCTATGGAGACAGTATCCCATCTATATTAATAAGTATGCTTACACCCAGTTCATCAACAATAAACCATGTATTTACTGCTTCAGGCAACAAAATACAAACAAAACAGCCTGAAGAGGAGGTTTACCATGTCATCTTACTCAGGTAGAGCACCTGCTGTGACCTGCTGAGCTATGAAGTTTTTCCCAGTGCAGAGGAAATAGCAGAAGATCATGCTTCCTGATACTTAGTGAAAACTAAAATAAATCAGATGTGGTTTTCTAAAAAGGCAACTAAAATCACAAAACTAAAAGTTACTAGCCCGACAGTGTTCCAAAGGGGATCAAAATAAATCCTAAGAGACAATATAACATTCAGTTTTAGTTCCATTCAATTTTTAGGCCTTCAGGCTGGGAAAGTATGGCAGGTTGATCTGTACATTGAAAATCTGTAAAAGGAGTTTGTAATACATGAACATTCTGTCAGCTGCATGTTCATGTAAGTTTGTTTGAAAATTCCAATCTATTACAGCATTTAATTCAACTTTAAATCCCACTCAATAGAGACGTGTACTAAGAATATAAATAGAATCAATTTTTTCTCCAAAATCCCAGCCTACTAAAAAAAAGGCAGCTGACTAGGATAGCACACTACCTATATCTTTATTGCAAGATTAAGTCATTTTTTCCAGTGCTTTCTTAAAAATCTAAACTTGAACTTCATTTTCAGTCAAGAGCTAGCAGTGGTTCAGAAATGTTACAAAGATCTTAGAGAATGACCTACACATACTAAGTGCAACATGCATATTTGTCTATAATCCATGATGTTCATCATCTGCTTGTATCTGCCAAAATACAGAACACTTGTTTTGCAAACACAGGTTTTAAACACGCGTCTCTTTCTTGTCATATTGAACTTGCATACAAATAAAGTTAACAGAGCAAGGTACTCACTTTATTGTGGGAGCATGCAATTTAAATAACTATTTAATAGTGTCTCTTTGAAATATTATCCAAGTGCCATATTCTGTTCTGTAACTGAATATTATTTCAGTATCATGGGAATTAAACCATTTCTTTTTCTTACTAACCCATCCCACCCTAACTCACTGATGTACCGCAAAGGGATGAAACTGGCTCAGCTGGCATTCACACTCTCTCTTTTCATTTTTTTTTCTTTTGCAAATGTGCACTCTTT